TTGTCGAAATAATAACAGATCATCTGCATATAAACAAATTTTATGTGTTATGTTGTTGGTATGAATGCCTTCAATATTAAAGTTTTGAAGGCTTGCTAGTGGGAACCACTACCAGCAGTGCTAAAAATGAAGGTGATAGTGGCCATTCTTGTCTGGTACATCTGTGGAGTGTGAAATTTGTTGAGATTAAATAGTTTTTATATCACCTGCTTTCAGTTTTATTCAATGTTTTGATCCATTGAATAAAAGACTGTCCAAAACCAAATTTTTCCAGTATTTATGTCCAATTTACTTTGTCAAATACTTTTTTTTACATCTAGTGAAATAATGACTGTTTTTTTGTACTTTGCTGAGATAAATGTATAAGGTTGAAAAGTCTATGTGTATTATTTGTAGAGTGTCTGCTTTCAATAACTCCTGTTTGATCTGGCTGAATAAGAGATGAGATGGCTGATTTGATACGGGTTGTTCAAACTTTGCTGATTATTTTTATATTGGTGTTGATTAAGGAAATAGGCCTGTAACTGGAACAATGACTGGGATTTTTGTTAGTTTTGAGAATTCATGAAGTTAGTGCTGTATTCATGTGTTATGGGAAGAATTGCTTGTTTTTAATTTCGTCTGTCATCTTGACAAAAGTGGAGACAGCAACTTCCAGAGATGTTTAAAATTAATATTGTTAATGCTTTTGCCTCTTTGCCTTCTCCTTTTGGCCAGTATAGGACAAAGTGAATCACTTGTGATTGATTGACTTTCCATGGAGATTAACATCCTGGTTGTTTCAGTTCAGTCAGTTCAAGTGGAGAAGGGATCCTATTCTAACTGATTATCTGTAACAAGTCTTAGGAGATTTGTTGCTGCTCTTTGATTTATGAAACAAATTCTCCATTTTTGCACTTCAAGCTTTTAGCAACTGGCAAAAACGCTTTTGTTATTTTTAGCAACTTACTATTGGAGGATAGATGTTGGTCTATATTGTGAGTCAAGAGTTTCCAGATGCAAATTAAAGTCAAAAGCTTTTTCAAATTTTTCTTTCAGAGAGAGACAGAAACCAAAAGTGTGAGGCTGAAGATTCCTCTACCACAAAGGAGGTACACAGGAACATTGTAAACATCTGATATATATAGAAAATAACATGATGATCAATCCACCTGTATGTGAAACTAAAATATTATTTTGTGATTCTGATTAAGAAACCCAGCACTGATGATGAACCAAAGGTAGAAAAGAACCCTGATCCAACACGTGGTGAATCTGATAATGACAATCAACAAGCTGGTACAAACGATGAAGGTCAGTAAAATACATGTTCAAATTAAAAGTAAGAAGTGTTTTCTCAGCTCTGTTGTTGCTGTCACTGAGCCCTTGGTCTACACTTTGTAGAACTACATTTTACATTAACTTTCTACCAGCTTCACCCTTTTAGAGACAGACATGTTTTCACTTGGTTCTCAACCTCAGTCAGATCGAACATAGATCATCTGTTAATAGGACTGATGAAGACTTGGCTAATATTCTCAGACGAAAGAAGGTCTGGATTTTAACTAGGCATCAGCATATATGTTACCATGAGCCTTTTGGCTGTTTCTCTGATCAGTGCTTTCTTGTTCAGCCTATTTCTTAAGGTGGAACGGCATGTCTCTGTGGTTCAGCCATGGCTGTCATTTGATTTCCGCATAACAACCTGCATGTTTCTTGTAAGATATTAAACGTGTGGTTAGCTTCACTCATGTTCTCTAAAAACCACTGAGACCCTTACATAAATCTTGGGTGCATTTTAAATTATATGCAGGTAAAATGTATTTACTCATTAGTTCAGGGCTTTTCACAGTGTGGTTCCCCCTATGTGCTGCCAGGGCTCTTGACATGAGGAACTATAAATGTACCAGAAAAGGTTCATTTATATGTGTTCCCAACTCATATTATAAACCAATGGTATTAATACCTAGGTTTGTGGAGGTAACATTATGAAATAATATTTTTTTCAAATTTTTCTTTCAGAGAGAGACAGAAACCAAAAGTGTGAGGCTGAAGATTCCTCTACCACAAATAAGGTACACAGGAACATTGTAAACATCTGAATTATATAGAAAATAACATGATGATCAATCCACCTGTATGTGAAACTAAAATATTATTTTGTGATTTTGATTAAGAAACCCAGCACTGATGATGAACCAAAGGTAGAAAAGAACCCTGATCCAACACGTGGTGAATCTGATAATGACAATCAACAAGCTGGTACAAACGATGAAGGTCAGTAAAATACATGTTCAAATTAAAACTAAGAAGTGTTTTCTCAGTGTATTTGCTGAGGATAAGTAAAATGTGCTTAGACAAACTAATCTTTCTCCTTATTTTTGTTGTGGCTATTAAAGCCTCCTACCTGGTCTGTCTCTTTGTCAACACTTCGTAGAACTACCCTTTGCTGTGTCTCCTCCAGCTATACACTTCCTGAGATGGATGTGTTTTTCCTTTCTTCTGTGCAAGAACCGAACGATTAACATAAAGAGAAATCAAGTAACCAAACAGGGAGAACAAACAAACCAAACCACCTTGACGTTTGACCCTTTTGTTGATAGTTTTATTCCAGGTTTTTGTTTTTCCATGAAATGATGTTGTAATTCTTTTCAGGGTGGTGAAAGAAAGCTGCCATGAGTTGAGTGGGTATCATGGTGAATATGTAGTTGGCTTTAAGTAATGTCATCATCTTAACGATGTTGATGTGGCCTACAATTGAAAGAGCTATTGTCATCCATCATTTTCAGCCATCTTAAATTGTTGTTTTCAATAGTGGGGTAACATTAAGGTGAAACATGTCTGACAGCTTGGTGGAGTATTTTATGCCTAAGTACGTGATCTGGCCAGGTGTCAGTGGTATATGAGGGATCTGTGATGTGTGGAAATTGGTCTCAAAATACATGTCTCCACTTACTGAAAATGTGGCATATTTGTTCCAGTTTATTGTGTCGTCTGAGATTTTGGAGTATATATTGATAGCTTTGGTTAATTCTTTGATTGATCTGTTTGGGTTTTGTCGAAATAATAACAGATCATCTGCATATAAACAAATTTTATGTGTTATGTTGTTGGTATGAATGCCTTCAATATTAAAGTTTTGAAGGCTTGCTAGTGGGAACCACTACCAGCAGTGCTAAAAATGAAGGTGATAGTGGCCATTCTTGTCTGGTACATCTGTGAGTGTGAAATTTGTTGAGATTAAATAGTTTTTATATCACCTGCGTTCTTCCACGTCCCAAGGAACCGACTTCTGCAACCTCCTCAGCCACCACCCATCCCACACTGTACCTGACCACTTTCGCCCCTCCCATCAGTGGTGAAACAATGGGAATCTAGTCTTTGTTGTATGTTCACTCATATTCTCCAACAAATCCCTGAGCATGATCTGTGTTGTTCTGTCACACAAAATCCTACTGAGATATATAGAATTTTATTTTTTGTACTTGGCAAAGTGTATAAAAAAGGTTTAAGGGCTATGAATACTTTTGCTTGACCTTTGTAGCATTCACTCTAATATATGTGTGGTTTTTGGACTTATTGTTAAAAAATTAGCAGTAGTAAACATTACCATTTTAAAGTCATGAAAATAAATTCAAAACTTATTTTTTTGCTAAAATGAGATAACAAGCTTTCTTTTTATAACCAGTGTCCAACCTGGAGAGGCTTTTGGAGGAACTGGGAATGGAGCCGTTCTTCAAGGAGAAACTGTCACTGGGGAAGATACTGGAGATCAATGACAAGACCATCAATGATGAGCCTCAAAAGTGGAAATCAGATCCTCCATGGTATTTTTTAAAGAAAGTTATAATGGGAAATGTAACAGCTAGAAAGATAAAATGCACATCAACTTCTGAAGACCTGTAATTATAAATTAGAAGCTGGTGAGTTTGACTTTGTATTCTTGACAGTCCAAATGAGGATAACTCTCTAAACCCTCTGGATATAATCACTGCTCTCTTTCTGTGTTCTGATGGTTTGTTCATCAAGAACTGGCTCTAAAAATGTCCATCTCACTGTTCCCTGTGCTGCTGTCATGCACAGCAGGGCATTGTTGTACAGACCTTCAATCTTCATCAAAAATCATGAATGAAAGTTCTTTCTGAACAATGAGTTCTGAGACTGGGTCCAAAATCTGAGGCTCCTCACAAACTTCTGAGTAACTTGAGGCAATACCATGACACCTTTGTTCACCGTGACATGGAGTGTGAAACATTCAGAGAAGAATATCCAATGGACTGACTGAACTGACCTGGTATCTCCCTGTGGAAACAAAAACTTGGACATCTTCAGTGAACCAGTTGCTATAGCTAACCTTCGTGAGACATTGCTTCATTTGAAACTCAATTCTCCTTTTTGTGTCAGACATCTGCTGCAGTTTTTTGTTTTCTTTGACCAGATGGACTGACTGCAAACTGCTGATGAACAAAAACCACAAAGCAAAAATCTTTTTGGTGGGAAACCAGCAAAGCAAAAACTTTAGAGTCGAAGTGGTACCATTGACTCAAACCAACATTTAAGAAAGACAAAACAGACAAATAGTGCAGATTTTGTAAACAATTGAGAAAAATGGTCAGTGATGTGGTCAATAACTCACAGAAAAAGATGTCTGTAGAGCAGATGGCTGATGTTGCACATGAAATGGGAATCACTGTTGATGAAGATTCTCCAGAGTGTCAGGATGGAAAGATGAAAGCTGATGAAATCACTGCTGAGATTAAAGATATAATAAAATACAAAGAAAATCAACTTCTGTTGCAGGGTCAAATATGGAAGGAATTGACTTTGTTGGAAAAGGAAGAATTTCGTCTTGGAAAAGTTGGTTCTGAAAACATTGAAAATTACAAATGTAAACTTCAGAGCGAGAGAGAAAAACTGAGAAAAACACAAATGACTCTGTAATGTCCAAAGCAATGACCTGCTTCATTAGTGCAATATCCAGCCAACAGAAAGAAAGATGTTACTTTCTAAATTGGATGAAAATGAATCTCAATAATTTGTCTCGAATCAAACTTTCTGTCCTCAGGGAGCTTTACAAGGAAAAATGCAAAATCCTGAGAACAAAGAAGAGATAAAAAAAATTGATCAACAACTTTCCAGCAGCTCACTGGGAGTTGAGCACTTCTTCCGTGAAATGGTCAGATCTATGAAGCTTCTCTTTACCTTCCAGAAACAGATCCATCACGTCAACAACTGCAACATCTGCCCAAACTCTGTGCTCAGTTGTTGCTGGATGGATTTCCTATTGAGCTTGTAGATGGAGATGCTTCCAACATTCCTCTCAGATGGGTGAGTGATGTTCTCTCTCAGCTCAATGACTTGGTGTCTCCAAACAACAAGATACGGGTCGTCACAGTTCTTGGAGTTCAGAGCACAGGGAAGTCCACTCTCCTTAACACCATGTTTGGAGTCCAGTTTGCAGTCAGCAGTGGTCGATGCACTAGAGGTGCCTTCATGCTGCTCATCAAAGTCAATGAAGACTTGAAGAAAGTTCTCAACTGTGACTTCATGATGATCATCGACACTGAAGGCTTAAAATCACCAGAGCTAGCACAGCTGGACAACAGCTATGAGCACGACAATGAGCTGGCAACACTTGTTGTTGGGCTGAGTGACATCACCATTATCAATATTGCCATGGAGAATTCAACAGAGATGAAGGACATCCTGCAGATAGTGGTGCATGCTTTCCTCAGGATGAAGGAGGCCAGCGGAAAAAAGCCTCAATGTCAGTTTGTTCACCAGAACGTTTCTGATGTTTCAGCCCATGAGAAGAACCTGAGAGACAGGAAGCTGCTGTTAGAACAGCTGGATGAGATGACCCAGGCAGCAGCTAGAATGGAGAAGAAAGAGGAAAACAAGAGCTTCACTGATGTGATGGAGTATAATCCAGACACTGGGAACTGCTACATTCCTGGACTCTGGAATGGAAACCCACCAATGGCTCCAGTCAATGCAGGATACAGTGAGACTGTCTATGAACTCAAGAAAAACATCATCCAACAGCTGGGAAAGTGTGGCTCAACTTCTAATGACATCTTGGAGTTCAGAGAGTGGATAACCAGCCTGTGGAACGCAGTAAAACATGAAAACTTCATCTACAGCTTCAGAAACAGCCTGGTGGCTGATGCTTACATGAGGCTCTGCACAGAGTACAACCAATGGGAGTGGAGTTCAAAAAGGAAATGAACAAATGGGTCACCAAAGCAGAGACAAGAATTTCCAATTTTGGTTCATTTACTGCAACATCTGAAATATCAGACATGAATGAATTCATCACTGAGTTGAAAAATGAAGCAATCACAGAGCTGATCAAGTGGGAGACAAAGATCCTTGAAAACCTGAAGAAATACTTTGATCAGCCAGAAGGTCATGTTTATCTGGTTGAAGGATACAGAGAGGATTTCTCCAACAGCATCAAGAGTCTTCGACAAGAAACTGAAAGATCAGTGTTCAACCAGATCACAGCAGCTGCTGATATTAAGAAGGGATTGAAAGAACTTGACACAATCAAGGCCACTTATACTGAAAAAATTGAGAAAGCAGTTTGTGATTTAATTGATGAATGTCGTAAGAAAAAAGTTGAAATGACTGACATTGAGCTTGATGAAAGTTTTAATGAGATGTGGACTGAAACACTGAACAGTTTGTCTTTGTCCAAACAACAGACAATAAATATCTTCACCAATGTTTCCCATCAGTTACAAACAAATCTTAAACACAAAGGAAGCCATGCATGTGAACTGCTGAGTAAGAAAATCCTCCAAAACTGTGGACTGGAGTCTTTTACATACAAACCTAAAGGAGTGAAGGAAAAACTCAAAACTGCTGTTAGAGGATTTTTTACCTTGAAGAATCTAGTAAAGGAAAGACAAAAAATTGCTGACAGCATCATCTCTGCTTGCAATGACTGTATTACTGATAAAATCAAGAGAAAAACCAATTATCATGATACTTACATTCAGGAGATTCTTCACATCATTGATGAGAAGCTGAACAAAGCTGATGTTGACACAGACATTGAGTTTGAAGTGCCTCTGAAACAACACATCTGTGGATCTGCAGCCAGAAAGTTTCAGAAAATGCATGAAGATTTTATCCAAGAAAATGATCCTTATAAATGTCTGCAGAAAAACAAAGAAAAATTCTGCACAGATTTCAAAGATGTGTTTCAAGAAAAAGACCAATGCCAGAAAAAAGCTGAAGAATTCACTAATCAATGTCTGAAACCTGCTGTTGAAAACTTCATCTGTCGTTCTCTTGGTCTTGATATTGTTCATAAAATGATGACAAAAGAGGAGTTCAGCACACGAATGTCCTTCCAGTATTACATTTTACTGGATCTGATTTCAAAAAGTGAATTTGAAACCTTTAAGAGCTACATTTGTTCATATGAATTTTACGTAAAATCATGGACATCTAATAGAATTAAGGAGTATTTCTCCTCTGGGGAGACAGTTTGTGAGTTTGAGGACAAACATCTTAAGTTTTGCATCGACCACATAAATGCTGCCATTAAAAAGGCAAAAACAGAAAAGACTGACAGTCTGAAGACATTTGTTGTCAAGATCTGCACAGAACTTGGTGATAAACTGGTAATTTCCCAGGATGCTCTTGATGCCTTCATGGTTCTGAACAAATCTGATCAGGAACAGTTTGCTCACTGGCTCAACATGTGTGTGGCGGAAATGAAAGAAACTCTTAGAGGAGAGTTTGAAAAGATAACATTTGAAACAAAACTCTCACGTCTCCACATGAAGCCAGAGAATGAGCTTTTTAACAGAGTGATTGGTTGTGGCAAACAGTGTCCATTCTGCAAAATACCCTGTGATGCTGGTGGAGAAAAACACACTCAACACTTTGCTTCTTTGCATCGACCAAATGGATTAGGTGGGAGGAGGTGGAATGACTCAAAAAAACTCTTGACTGATATCTGCTCTTCTCTTATCAGTGACATTCGTTTTCGCTGCAGTGACACAAAGAATAAGTATCATCCTTTCAAAAAATATACGACGACTTACCCAGACTGGAATATTCCTCCAGATGTGAGCCTTGACGCGTCAGATTATTGGAAATATGTGATGAACAAATACAACAAGGAATTTACTGAAGCATATAATGCAAAGCCTGCTGACATTCCTGATGCTTGGAAGAAAATCACAAAAGAACAGGCAGTAAAAAGCCTCAAGAAATCATTCTACATCAAATTCATGTTTAGTTTTAAGAACACAATTGGTTCTTCTATGTAGAGTTTTTTATCCTTTTTTTGAAAGGCCAAATTCACACGTTGGACTCACCTCTTTAACAAAAGCCAAATTAAACAACTTCACCTTAATTTACTGCAGCTCCTTATTTTCTTCATTGATCATTTATAATTTTAGCATTTTGTTATTCTTTTATTTTATTAACTTTTATTTGCAACATATCTTGTCTGAAAATATTTACACTCTTGTTGAAAGATTGTATGTTTGCTACCACATTAGATGGATAATTGGAGAGTTTCAGTACAAATTTATTGTTCATTGTGAACGACTCAATGCAATCAATTCTCCATTATCATGACATCATTCAGTGGGTCATTGCTGCAAAGTCAATCACTGGATGCATTTACTGAGTTTCCTTAGATAGAAAAAGTTTTACCAAATTAAATATCTGGGTCAAATTAAAATTTGATTGGGTCAAATTAAAATTTATTTAATTTTAAATCTGATGTGGTTGAATTGATTATGTATTTCTGTATATTAAATTATCTGGCTTATATTCCAAATTATCTTGAGATTACATTTGCTATGAATTAGTGCTAGAACAATAAACTTAACTGAATTCAGTTTGATGTCAAATTATTTTTCTTTTGGTTATATTTGCTGTATGGGTGCAGGAATGTTACTAAATAAATGTTCTTATATACGTTTAATTTGTCTTATTGCCATATTCAGTGTCATTTCCAGATATATTGTTTTGTTTGCATAAAAATGTCATTTATTTTTTTCCCTTTGTTTCATTTTGTCACATTCATAAGGATTTAGGGTTTACAAACATCTATTTCTGGGTTTTATTCTGAGTTTTTCTCAGAATTGATTCAAATGTATTTAGGTTTTCATCCTCAGCATTTATCATCAAATATAACAAAAATTCAGTTCAACTCAATTTAAAGTTTTTACATGACTTGCTTTTTGTCAGATCTTTAGTTCTGTGTTGACTTGATGTGTTGTTGTGCTAATTATATTAAATGTTTTATTTCCAACTAAATGTCATAGCAGCTGATTCTCTATTCTTGTGTAAACAAATAAAAAGCTGCTCATTTTTTGTTAAAATAAATTATATTCTGCAAATAAAGAAATAGATCATCTTGTTTATGACATGCTTAATAAAATATATTGTTGTGGATCTACAGACCTCTTAGTTAAAATGTTATCAGAATTTACTATAAGAACTTTATGATAATTTGCTATTTAAAAATTATCTTTGATTTAAATCAGGTGCCAAATAAGAGTTTCATCAGTCTGATATTATCTTGCTACTTTATGTAATTTAATAGAGTACTTTAGTTAAAACAATGTGTCTGTTGTACATTAAAGAGCAATAATAAGCTGCACACTAACAGCCCAACCTGATCTCTGGCTGTGTTGGATCAACAACAACAACTCTTGAATCATGAGTCCATGAATCCTTAAGGAAGAGTTTCATCCCCTCCTCAAGACAATTAAGGATAAATTCTGGCACTGGGTGCAACACAAAATCAGTAAACAGTTGATGTCAGCAGAAAAATATTTATTTGATTTTACAGTTCAGTTAAAACCTCAATCACACAAGGCAGAAAAGCTTCAGGGTCTCCAAGGCCAAAACATAAACTAAACATCACCTTTTAACTATAAAATAAACACTTTCTATAGGAGAACTGAAAAAGGTAAAACACCTGAACTCCCTGTCTAACCACAAAACAGGAGAAAACAACATAGAATAAAAATGGCAGCTTCCATTGTGAATAGAAACACATTACTTTAGTTAGACACTAAATTCTTCCCAATAAAGCTGCAGTAAGATCACCAAAATCCCCACAAACAGTCAGCAGACAAACAAGATCACTGAAGATCAAGGACCAGAGAAAAAGAAACCTGACAGCTGGAATGAAGCTCTTCACTGATTGGCTGATGAGCTTCAATGCATTTCACCTGTGACAGCCAGGTAGAACTGAAGCACACAGAGAGAGAGAGACCCTAGAGGTCAGTGACCGTAACAGGGAGACTCCCTGAAGCTTCAAATAAACAGACCAGTAGCAGTTAGAGAGTAGTACGCCGTCAGGGTAGAGCAGGAAGGCATCATCAGTATGTTAGCCCATTCGCCGATGGTCACCTCCACCCCGAGGGTAACTCGGTCCTCCAGTCGGCTGGCCCATTCTGCTGGAATCCAATACTCCGTCTGGCCGACTTCTGGGACATACGCTCACCATCCGTCCTTTGCTTGGACTGGGCCCCGGGTCAGGTCCTTTGTCACCCTCTCGGAGGACCTCTCGATGTCGTAGATCCTCCGAGATCTACGACATCGAGATCTTGAACCGCGCAGAACCCCTGATTCTGCGCGGTTCAAAGTGGTTGATGCTCGGGTGAAGGTTGCCTCGGGTCCTGAGAACGCACTTTCACGGTCGCTCACTTCCTCTTCTTCCGCAGACTGCTCACTTTCCTGCTGTTGTTCTGGTTCGGAGCTGCTGATGTCGTCATACTGCGACTGCCAGAGGGGTAACTTGCCCGGGGAATTCAGAGGCTGAATCTTAGCTGGCCTCATCACCTCATCACCTCATCCCCGTTGTCCCCTGAGGCTTCAGTTTTAGGTTCCTTTTTATTTTTCTTTGGCTTGCAGTCGTAGGGTTCACACATGACTGCTTTGATGTATCTCGCAGTACCAGGTTCCGGGTCCACCGCAGACACCCTCAGCTTTATCTTTAACAGCGGCAAGACTCTGCTGTTAAGAGCCCCATTGTCACAAGGACAATGGGGCTCCAAGCAGCCCCATTATACTTGGGGCTGCTTGGAGTCTTGTCCTGCTGGGTCACTCGAGGGTATTTCTCGTTCTCAGGAGGTGAATGATTGACACGTTGCTGCTCCTCTATTTTGGCTGCCATTCGCAACCCTTGATCTCTCTGGAGCTGGTGTTGTCGGGGATCGACCACGACCACTAACTCTCTGAAACCA